CAACCCATTGTCTCGCGAGGAGCTCCGCTAAAACACGTCCGACTGCTACGACGACCAGCGACAGAATCGACCAGCGACAGAATCGACCAGCGACAGAATCGTAATAGATTTACAAAATGTAACAACAGAAGACTCAATTTAATTTATAGATCATGTGATTAGCCTATCTTCCGGGGAGATAATTCGATTGAAAATATTACATATGTGACTTAAACAATCCAAATATAACAATTTTTTCAAATGCCTAACATTGCTTGATCCTGTAACTTTGTGTGGCCTCCCTGTTGCCTAATCCCAGAGCCGCCACTGGATTTTGGAGAAATTCATTTATATTCATAATATATAATTCATTCATAATTAGTTATGTCAGTCTTTGGGTGCAAATTTCAATTCAGTTAATAAATTGATGTGCGAATACTGCTCTCTTTTTCGTAACCAGTCTTTATACCATATAGAACGATTTCTTTCAAGTCTTTTCAACTTTTTTGTAACAAATATGCTATGGCCAAAACTATGTCGAAAGCGTCATCCATCTCTGCACAATACAACTGGACGCTCACTACAGAAATGGTACCGTTCAAGCGTACTTGAGCCATCTCTGGTCACTTGGAAAATACCTATGTTTGAGCAAGTAAATCATAACGTGTATGGCTACCATTACACTTCTGTTATCTTTCCTAGTAGGACTCTCTTGGCCCCTTGCTATATCTTCGACCCCGATGCTATTAGGTCTCCAGGGTTAGGGTGTCATTCATTTCTCTATCTTCACCAGAGGTGATTTCGATCAATAGGAATATCTATAATAACTCAGAAATTTGTATCAATGACCAGGAGAGTAAGAAAGAGATACTAAGCCAAGGAGTAAGACAAGGATGTAGTCTATCCCCAATTATTTTTAATTTATATTTAAATGAAGTATTAAATATGTGAATATCCAGACTAAAATCTTATAGTCATGGCATGGGAAAAGAGAGAAACCTAATGACCATGTTATTCGCGGATGACCAACTTATAAATGCAAATGATGAATATATCCTACAGAAAGCACTGTTTGAGTTACAAAAGGTAACTGAAATGTACAATCCCTTCATATCCTCTACAAAAACAAAAGCCATGGCCTTTGAAGGAATGGAACCGATTAGATCCAAATTAGTTGTGTATAATTCACCTGTAGAGCAATTTTCAAGTTTCAATTTCTTGGGATACAAAATGTTATATAGGGAGGAAATAGATATACAGGGGAAAATTGAAAAATTAAATCGTATGAACGAAACAATACTGAGATTCCTGAAAAAGAAAGTCAGAAAGGACACTATGATTAAATTATATAAGGTATTAAGTATCCCAACATGTTTATATGGAAATGAAAATTGGACAATGACCAAAAAAGATAGCACGAGACTACAAAGTGCTGAAAAAAAATTCTGAGATCAATCGTTGGCTATAAGCTGATGGACACGAAAAGGAATTTAGAAATTCACAAAGAACATGAGTATTCAATCTTCAAGAGAAAATCAATTACTACCAAAATTCTTGGACCCAGCACATTGAAAGGATGCAAGACAACGGCCTGCCGAAAAGAATTCTACAAGACGAAGAAATCCTGGCCGCCCGAAGAAGAGATGGGGTAACCAGATGGGAACAGAGGCGTAACAGGCAGTGCCTATAGACCTGAAGGAAGAGGAAGAGAAGAAGAAGATGATGATAATTCGCTCTCGCACTAACAACTAGAAGTACTATTAATAGTTGGTTGATGCCGATGATTGTTTCGTGTAGTGAAAACATTCATTTAACGTTTTGCCGAGGTCTACAAGTAATGTTTACCTAATTATGGAGGGCTGTGGGTGTGCAGTGAAGAGTGAAGGTGTGTCTTGCTAGATTTGGTTTGTGTTTAACCTGTACTAGTATATTCGTTTTCAGCAGAGATTCTGTGAAACTTTCAAGTCAGCGTGTTCACACACGTAGCTTTCTTAAGAGCAAAAATGCTTTTTCATATTCTTTCACAATGTTCAAATATATTGGAGTGACGCCTCTTTCTTGACGGTAATGGTTACTGGTGAACTGCTTGCCGTGGTCGCTCAGTACCTTGTTGTACTCCCTCGCGATCCTGAAATGCGCCTGCAGTTGACGTAGGCAAATGGCAGCATTATGGGCTATACCCACGTAAATTTCGAGAGCGCGTCAACCATCGTCAGTATGTACTTGTTTCCGTTGGTGGTTCTCGGCAGCGGTCCATAGATGTCAATAGCCAGTAACTCATTCCCTCGGTTTGGTATTACAGCGTGCATTTCACCGTATTTGCGTGCGTATTTGCGATTAGGATGTTTCGTCGTCAAATACGTCTGACATTGCCCGCTGATGCGCCGCCCGCCATACCTTTCCAATAGCACAACTTTCGTATTTGTATCAAGATATTCCGAAGCCCCTAATGTGCGTTCTTGCAGTGGACGTATTGCACCAATTCCTGTTCCTTCCCCTTCGGTACCCAGATGCGGTATACCGGCGTTTGTCGGTGTACCCTGATGGTGATAATGCCTTCAACCATACGCCAGCGATCCGGATCTTGATCATGTTGACCCTTCAATGGCGACTCGTCACTTCTCCCCTCCTTGATGTGTTTTATTTCCAGGATCTCTTGTCCTGCTCCTGCCACAGTACCATGTTATACCAGTCCCATTCGAGTTGTTCTGGGATATTCAGTTCGATCGGTGCTATCAGAATCTCTCTCTCCAAGCCTTACACTGCTTGTCAATTCCTTGTTCTAATCGGCTTTACAAATCGGGCAACCTATTCTCTCTTCTTGGACAGTATTGCAACGTGAAACCGAACTGTTGCAGTCACATTACCCACCGTTTTAGTCGATCCATATGAATTCATCCAAGAATATAAGGGACGTATGATCTGACCTGATTACAAATGTAGGGCCCTGCCTTTATTTCATAACGTCCCACACACACCCGTAAGCTTGTTTCTCTGTCGCTGAGTAATTTAGCTGTGCTCCTTCAGGGCTTTGCTCACTAACTGGATAATCTTGCGCTGCCCCTCGTATTCCTGGCAAAAATGACTCCCACGCCTTAAGTGTGGCTGTCTGTTTGTAAGACCAACTCTTCACTAAAATCGGGGTGAGCAATAATACACTCTTCGCGGAACATACTCTTGATTGCGTCGAAGGTGCGGTCATGATCTTCGCTCCTTCTTCGATCTGTTCTGCCTTCCCAACTCTGTCGAAAATGAATCTATTCGGCTCCCTACTTCCGCGGATCTCTTCTCTACTAGATTTTTGCCTTCCGCGACCTGCGTCGTGATTTCTTATCGGAGCACGTCACATTTACTGCCGTCCTGTATCATTATGGACAGTTGGAGTTGTTCTAACTTATTATCAAAGCTTCTTGTCTGCTCATCGATTTTAGTTACTAACCCCTCTATCTTCTGTGTAATTTGCCGCGATTGTTCGTTAACTTGTCGCGATTGCTCCATAATTTTTTTGTTAATCTGATCATTGATCATAATTTTCTCATTAATTTGTCGAGCTTGTTTCTCGCTCTTTCGTGACTGTTCGTTAATCAGCCTTGTTAAGTTGATTACCTGATTCTCAACCTGCTGGGCTATTGCCCTCGCGGAGTTTCCTAGTAGCACCTGCATTAGCGTATGCATGGATTCTTCCTGTCCCCTTCCTTGCTAATTCTGGTGACGTGTCATCAGATTCCATGCGAGCCGCATTTGGACTTAATCGTTTCTTCTTCGTCACCTAAATTCAATTTCTCTATTTTCCTGAATAACTCATTTCCTTCATCCCTTTCACTACCGTCCTCACTCTCGTCTCTTTTTGCCTCCCTATATTCACTTTCCGCCATTTTGCCTCGAAATTACTACCTTGTATTACCCCGTAATATACTTCACCCTCCAAAATACAACGAAATGCACACACAACAATAACATTCACTTCACAATTAAATATAACTTTTCTGAAAAGAATGGCATACAAAAACACAGGTACAACATTTTACTTTCTAAATATGTCTTGGGTCACTTTGCATATTCGATGTATGATCGATCACTGCCCCACGTTGGGTGTCAATCTAACGCTCGCTTACTGGTCATGACAGGCGTCAGACCGAATGCTCTAATCGAGCTTTGAAATCTCAAGGGGAGGAATCTTTTGGGTTATGAGAATGATTTACATCCAGACACAGAATCAGGTAAAACAGAGCATCTTCAGAATATGACCACATATAACACACTGAACGAAATGCGAAGACCAGATATCCAATAACACACAAATATATATATATATATCAAAAATCAAATTATCCTTTACACACTTTGAAAATTAACATCGTTTGTTCACTTTGATTGGAATATTGCTTCCTAATCCACTACTTTTTACAAAATGTCCGTACACGGTAACTTCTACTTGGCCACTCTACCTGGCGTCTCTTATGAAAGTAATTTTCTTAAATCAGCATTTTTCATACATTATTACTTCGCGTTGTCTACTCCAGATTCCGTATGTGAAGACGCGAGATGTATTCACAGTCCGGCGCGCCTGCTTCAATTATCTCAGTGGCGGAAGTACACGTCAACGACTGAGATCAATTTCACCTTTAGGTGTGAAAAGTTACTCTGACGGCGTTCGTGACCTTTAACCATACTTTCGAAGAAACATTGGCGATCGCCGACATGTAACACTTCAATGAGAGTGCTTCACGCTGCATGGACTGTATATACTCTCTCTGGGATTGTTTGCTTGGGTGTTATATATCGCTAGGATGTCTTGTATTATGTGTGGATGCAAATCTGCATTCCTGGATAGCAGTAGATGAAGCTTTTACTATAGACGGGACATTTGTACAATAGTTTGTGTAATTTTTAAAATTTGTTTTGGAATGTTTTGTAAATTTAATTTTGTATCATGAAAAAGTGATTTATAATTAATGAATTTAAATATCACATATTTATCGCATATTCTTACAGTTTTCATGACATATTTAGGTACATATTTTGATGTTTCATACTACATATTTGTCTGGCCTCTAATTCTTAAACACTATCGTAATGTAATACAAATTTATAAAACTATTCGTTTTTATTTTCGCGAACTAAAAGTAGCCGTCTTGATCGTGTTATCCATTGGCGTTATACAATGGGTACAATGCAATAAGTAACAACTAACAATGACCTCTCATTTATTCGTTTTCACATGTAACACAATAAAAAGACGCAATTTAAAATGAACAAATATATAATAAATAATCATAAAATGAAATATGAAATAATATACAAATTTCCACTTGCGTAGCATCCAACTGCGTAAATTGGAAGCGGGCGCCTGAAGACTACCTATCATATTTACTTAAAATAGGGTTTAAATAATTTCCAAAAGATTAATTTATAGACGTGTGACAAAAGAAAACAAACGAACAAAGAAATATAAAATACTCTACACGTTCTAATTTACCTAGCATCCAACTACCTCGAAACACCTAAAATTACAATCAAGGGCAGTATTTACTGAACGGAGTAATTAATTTTGCCTTCCAATTACTCCAAAAATACTCAGTCTCGAAAAATTGAACATCATCTTATTTGAAAATCAGTTTTATATTAACACATTTCATTAAGAAAAAAATTAACTTCATATTTGTAGTTGTAGGAAGACGTCGAGAAAAGTTTGAATAACGGAGAATTTACGACAGAAAAACTCTTATTACAGGGCCCTGGTAAAGAAAAACAGGATGAATCCAGTTGCTAAATTAAAAAAATCCTCTAAGACGTGGTGTATCCAGAGTCCATATTTTGTGAGTCCTTGATACCGAAATATCGAATGACTGCAAAAGTCTGTCCGTGAACAATGCTAGCGGCTAAACCGTTCAGCCGATTTTCTCCGAAATTGATATTCCGCAATCGTTTTGGCTGATGTCGCGGCCCTTTAAATTTGAAACCAATGTTTTCATTTTGGAGGATACTTTTTTAAATTAAAAAATGGCTTTTTGGGAAAATTGGCTGAGCGGTTTAGCCGCTAGCATTGTGCAGACGAACGGATATAAGTTTTGCTGTCTGTGTCCGTCCGGAATTTTCGAAGATTATTACCCGTTCAGTTCTAATTTACAACTCTTGGGAATAAAAATAAATACAAATATTTCTTTATTCACTTTTCATCCAAAAACTTAATCTTTAAAACTCAATACTTTTCACCCAAAATCTATTAATATTCTTGATACTTAACAAGACACTTGAAACCGTGTAAAACCAAACGCAACAAAATACACTTTAATTTTTTACTTTTATATAATATTATATACGTCGGTGAACACGAGCTCAACTCCTTAGCAACCATCTAAACAACATCCATTGCAACGACCGTTCAAATATTGGATAGACTATTAAAAATATTTTAGCGGGCTGTTTAGATTTTATGCTCATAAATCTGAATAAATATATCCCTTTTGTTCCGTTGGTCCCACTTTTCCGTTTGCCGCCTTGACTTATTTTGTACCGAAGTTCACCTAGTCCCCTTGCCCTCGCCATCCTTCTTATATATAGTGCTCTACAGCTGTCGCCGTTTCTCCGCTCTCAGTCTCCATGCCTCTCTATTGGACCATAGCTCATCTGGCATTTCTCTTGCCGTCATAGCCTCTTGCACTCCCTGGTGCCATGCAAGTCTGGGTCTTCC